GCGTCGGTGAAGAAATGCCATATTTTAACCAGCTTTTTCCTACTGCTTTTTAATCTTCTTAACTGAACTGTTGTGTGGACGGTGGGCTGCTAGCCAAAACCACTTTTGAGTGGCTCAGTAAAACTCGAATGTAATCCAATTTCTGTGTATGTTTGTTTGGTTCACGGGTGTAGTCCACAGTTTTGTGTCCTGGACGAGCTATAGCAGATAAAAACTTATGCATTAGGCTACCTCACAGCGCGCACACCAACGTCCCCTACCGTTTACGTCTTTCGGTAGCGTTTAAGGGAACGAATTACGCGTTTTGAAGAGCTTCATATCAACTTTCTGGAGGAAAAATAAAAATAGTACATGAATTATTCTTATGGATATTAGTAAAACTTCAAAATTGAATTCCCTTGACGTTTATTCAGTTAGAAATAGATGAAACGAATCAGGTACCTTCAAGTCCACACCAAAGGGAAATTACTACCAAACTATTCTGGAGGAAGGTAACAGACTGAAGAAGGTAGCAATGAATTCGAAGAATGGTCGCCAAAGGGGAGAAAGATAATACCCAAGACAATTTTCAAGATAAGCAGCAACGAACAAGGCAACGGCTACTGTTCGGCACACGATACGCAACTGACCTTCAAGATAACCCTGGGGAGAATCCAACCACAGAGTTATTGATCCCCCTATTATTCTCAATGACCAAACTACTCAAGGAATGAAGAGGTATGCCACTCACCAATGTCTGCCAGACATAATTCAACAATATGAATTATCCTGATGTGCGGTCGAGAATTAGCCATATATTTGTTAGGGGTGCAAATGGTCAGCAGGTGAACAGACAACGTCATGGACCTTGACCTTTTATGACGTTATGACTGTCATGTGGTTGAGGACTTGACGCAAGTTCACGATTCATTCGAACATAGATGGCTCTGACAATCTGACAGTTTTTGTTCTTCCTGTCGCTCTGGGAGATCGAGGAACATAACAATAACAAAACAAACGTGAGTGTGGATAGTCCGCCAATATCGACTTGATCCGTTACATCATCACACACGAACAGCGTGCTCAAATCAGTCTCACACAGAAATTGAGAAAATAATAAAGATTCTTCTACTTCCTTTCATTTTTGGCTGCCGGGAGGAGATTGTATGTGTGTGTGGGGGGGGGGTCCGAATCGGTCATAGGACCTGAAGACAGGATGTGGTGCAGTTAATGCACTGCTAACTTGTACCGATCACCGATACGGTTTTATGAAGGGAATGGTTTACTGAACACTATCGGGAACATGTAAGTTGAGGACGCAAACAGGGTTCAGCTTGAGTGTGTGTGTTTCTTTGTAACAGCGATGACTTTCCGATGAACTAAATTTGAATGCAAAAATGATTTGGTTTATTTATTCGGAATAACAAACGAAATGCATAGCAGTCCACTTGAATGCGTTGAACGATGAACATTTGACGCTTGTGTCAAGATGAGAGGATAATTTTTGGATCATAGAGAGAGAGAGAAAACAATATGTTTAAGGAACAGTTAAGCTCTATTAAAAATAAAATTCAATTACCAGTCAAACTGTACTATCGGTGTGTAGACAGCACGACCAAAACACGATTGTAATACAGAAACAGATTACTATATTGGTTATATCATTCAACTTAAGAATTTTCAAATATAGTCATCAACAACCTGTGTGATCAGTCGGTAAAAAACAAGAACACCGGGGAAGAGGGACGAGTCGGAAGTCACTAAAATTCTGGTGACTGGGTATAGTGAAAATTGTGTTGGGTATGGAAAACAGGAGGCTATGTTGTTTACGGAAATCCAAGAATCTCACTTATGTAGAGACGATCTACTAAATTCGGCTGGAGAATAAAGGAAAAAATACATCTCGAAAAGCTAGCACTAGGTCTTTTTGTTATTTCCACTTTCGCACACAGTATTGAAATAAGTAGTCGAGTTCGCCTGAGGCACGAAAACAACTACATAGTATACAATTGAACAACCAATGCCCAATACCAAACAGGTTGGGTGTGTGTGTGTGTGTAATGCTTGTCCTGAGGCAATGTGACTTTACAGTCTGATAAGGCAGCATTCGCGACTAGACGCGCAATAAGATATGATACGGCTTAGGTTCGAAATCCTATCCGCATTCGATTCAATTCACAGGCAACCAGTTAGGCCACAACAGACACGGACTCGAGATTAAATGTCAGAGAAGGGAGTTGAACAAGAACGGCAAGGCCGGTGGCGGAGAGCGGGAGAGGGGGGGGGGGGGGGANGGGGGAGTGACGACAAATGTCAGTTGTTCGTTCAAGATATATCAGACTGTTGACCTAGTCTAATTGTACCGAAACAAACACCTGGACAAACATTGTTGGCGTGCTCCATCGACAACATATGCTTGCCGCTCTCACGAACTCCGAGTGATAACCGTTCACTGTTGTCCTGGGATAAGAGGATAGAGCGAATCCCAACTACGAACGTATCATATCTGGACGCAAACAAAACTAAACCACAGAAGTGGATTATATCAATGAATCAGATCGGTGTACCCTCGTCTGCCGCGCGCGGGTGGCTTACATTCGATTCTCGGTTGACGCATAGTGCCTTCGATTCTGATTTGTTCAATGCAGCTTTTTAGGCAATGTTAAGCATCGCAATGGGTAATATGCGTATGACTAATCCTGATACCACTATTCGTCAAACTATTTGAAACTTTTCCTGTCGATATTCCTATTAGCACCATCCGATCGCTTCACTAAAACTGTACGCTTCATGCAGCTCCGATTAGGTTAAGACTGCGAGACAACTGCTGAGATGATTCACGGGTTCCAGGCTAAGAACAATACATACAACCGGTTTAGGAAGATCCGACAACCAGCTTCCCTTTGACATGTTTGCCGGGTTAAAAAATGCGTGAAAACCTTCCATAAACACAATTCTGTTTCAATTAACAATTGATCAAATGGCTCTTTCGCAGACTGATGTCATATGTTGAAATTATGAAAAGCTCAGTTGCCTCGGTGAGATTCGAAACCACGCATGGAAGCCGCCTACGCTTTTGTACAGCGCACGCTCTACCGGCTGAACTATGAGGCTACATCGATAGCACTAATCTTTGCAATATAAAACTTCAAGCATCCAAACAACAATATGAACAAAGAACCTTGTCTTAAACGTTCATTCGGTGGATTCCGATGAATTCTAAGGAAAACCTGTCGTGGTAGTTGGGGTACACGCTACGTAGTGGATGCCATATGCCTCTGTAAGTTGGATGGGCGATTCGAATGTGAAAAGATCAGTGCTACTGGTGTGCTCTTATAGTTCAGCTGGTAGAGCGTGCGCTGTACAAAACGTAGGCAGCGTCCATGCGTGGGTTCGAATCCCACTGAGACTACTGAACCTTTCACAGTTTCAAAATAAAATCCATCAACAATGTCGGCCAGATACAGTTCAATCAATTGACCCTGATTGTATCACACCGATCGTATGAAAGATTTTTGGGCCCGAAATGGCCTTCACCACTGTTTTTTCTCAGATCGCTTTTCCGTGGTGTGCCACAGTTGCTGCAAAGCAGTTCATTCCTTTCTTAAATGAGACGCTACCCTGGAAAGCCAGGGTGCCGATGATGGCATAACAGTTTTGCTGGAATTCTAATTGTTGTACATCGTTCCGCGACCGGTACATGCGTCATGTTTGGTCTTCGACAGTCGACAACCGTGGCGTCCGTCGGTTTTCTGACCGAAAACCGTTTACATGTTACCATACTTCTTCGTCATTCGGATAAGAAGCAGCCTCTGTGACTGGTTTGGTCCTGACTCATTAATGAACTCCATTCATACACTCGAAAAACCAGGCATTCTGTAGTCAATTTTCCAAGCGAACATTATATGCATGCACCACCCTCAAACAACAACATCGATTGATCGGCCCGATGAGGATGTCTGTTGGGGCTACACTGCAGCTCGGAACCCTCAAATTCTCATCGCTTACCTCTCTGGATTGGACTAACGCAACCCTGTAACGGCATTGCACCCTTCGAAGATGACCTTCACATGATGAACACTAAAGTCATCTGAAGAAGCCTGGAACTTGCCTGATTCTGCAGTCAGGAGTGAAAAGTCATCTGAATAATCCGGATTGAGCGATTTGCAACCTAGGAACTGATCGACGACACCACTATCATTGCAAGAGGATAGGACAGTTAAAAAATGATACAACGCTGAGAAGAGCGAGGACAACTTTGGCAACTCGATGCACTTCGGTCCCGTGCCTAGTCACACAGTATCAAGTATTTGGTGTGGGGGTAATCTCCTTACCCAGACATACTAGTGACATCATGTAAAATGTAACCAGCATATGACAAAGCTGTGAGGACGAATCGCAAAGTAATGCACTATATCGAAACTAAAAAGAAATATTACAAATATTTATGCGAAGATTTCCACATCGACAGTTCGGCATGAAAACTCAAAGTACAGATCAAAAAGACCACTACTTGTTCGAACCCCAAGTGGCTTGATTAAGGTGGTGTAAACTTTTTGCCATACATACGACAAACACATGAAAACAAAAATGACTGAAAACGAACCGAAACTGACCAAAGATTCGGTCATTCGACCGAGGACTTTGAGCATCTGCACATTGCGGACGGTTGGCAAATGTTGAACAATTTGATTCCCGTTATTGTTGTTGTTGTTGTTGTTGTTTACCGGGACTTCATCACCGATCATATGAATCAATTGGACCGCCTCTTTTGCAGCCAAGCGTGTCGCCTCTCGTTCATACAACAGCCCGGATAGATGCTGACCGAGAGAGAGAGAGAGAGACAAAAACAGACAAGAAACAGAAAATAACACATGAACGGTGTCGGCTAAGGCGCAAGGATAGCATTGTATATATGAATATAAACATATATATATATATTCCCATCATAAAAGAGGAAAGAAGTGCATGCGCACAAAAGGTAGCATTGTGAGCATGATATTAAAGTGAAGAACATTTATTACCAGCGAGGAACAAAAAACAATACAAAACAGTCGCAAGGAACAAAGGCTGTGTGCGTGCGTGTGCATACCTAATGCATCAAGTGCCTGCTCCCAGTAGAGCAGTATTCTGATAGCGGTGAGTGACGAGGGGAAAGATAGGATCACACTCGAAGGGTAACAGTTCATATGCCGTGGGGGACATACTATGGAAAAAGTTAGCCTCTCTACAGCATGAAAGATGGTATGCCGGAGGATGTGTGCCCAGTGCTGTCACTTCTTACACTTCTTTTGCACATCTTGAAATACGCTCGGATGACCAAACGTCTCAAATAGCCTCTGCTGAGGAAGCTCTTCCCATCGACATCAAGAGAGAGACTGAGATGTGTTCCCGCTAAGGTAAGGGGACCAAAAAACCAATATCCGGAGCTATAACTGGGTCGGTAAACTACTAGCAGTTCAATCAGAGGAGTTGAATTTTAAAAACACCTGATTTCAAAAACAACCAATGAGAGGCACAAACACAATACCCACACGTTCTTCGATCTGATAGTGATCGCCGGTTTGCTTAAATATTGAGCACCTTGGATGTTTGAGTGCCCCGAAAATCAGAAAATTCGATTAACTATACACCCACATTTCACGGATTACGGCTTTTATACCACCCAACTACTTTGCGGTTTAGACCTTGGCTATCCGAAAGTCCTGGTTTCGAATTAACCCCCCACGAAAAAAAACTGAAAAACTTGGTTTCTTAGTTACATGTGTTATACCGCAACTCAGTACTTAGGCAAGTGTGAGATATGTGAGATATGGACTCGTCTTATTTTGTGGATTAATGAACCGATGCAACTGGAGATGCTACGAGGACTACATCAGACTATTGTACTGCATTGTTTAACTGGGTGGTGTATTCGTAGAGTTTTTCAATCAATAGGCTTGACCATGTTAGAGTGGTGATAGCGGCCAAGTTATTCCCAGCATCATTTGGGCTCTAAAGTACCGAAGTTTGGTGATAGGCAGGTTCGCTGATTGCATACCCCACTTATGCTAGCGGGGCCCAATATGGTTCATCGTTTTAAATTCGGTTACCAGGATTGAACAGTAAGTGGTCCCTTGTGCATATAAAGCTATTTGCCACACAACTGTGTGCAACTAATACTATACCGGTCACACTGCTGGAGAGGAACTGAATAAGACCCGAGGAAATCGCTAAGTTGAGTGAATTGAACCAGAAGAGAGCGAGAAAAGAAGTATATATAATCCATGGGAACACAAACAGTGCACATATTCCTCGAGCTGTCCGTGCACTCACAAACAACTGCCATGACTGGCTCAGACATTTGATTGATGAATGTGCGTGTGTGTTTGTGACGGGGACAGTATACAAGTCGGACAGGGAATTGGGAAACCTACGGTGGATACTGCCCTGTCACTATGCCGATGGGAATCGAACAGAGACCGATCGGTCAGAAAAATGGGGCAGTTGTGAGACAACCGGAGGACAGCGTGAACCTCGGGAGCACGATAGAGATTTTGTTCTTTTTTGGACAAGCCGGATTACGGAATGCCCTTGCGCATCAGCATCTTCGAACACAAAACGGGTACAACATACTGATCGCTTTAACTCCACTTGGAAACCCTATCCCCCCCCCCTCCCTAGTCGAAGAAATGCCCGTACCAGTGCGCAACATCA